AAAAAAAGACATTGAATAGGGAGACGCCATACCGCTGTGATCTCATATTTGTCGCTGATGAACTTGTTCCGGTCCTCCTCATCCACCTCTGCGGCTGGGCATTTCTCCTTGTGGTCGGCAGCGAACTTGTGGTTAAGGACCGCGTCCTGCTCACCTCTTAGTTAGTGATGCTGACATGCCGAACCACGGCCTGCTTGATCGGCGTACCCAGTAGATGCCAACGCCATTCTTTTTGGCGTTGGAGCAGAGCCTCTGCAGCTCCTCCTTGGTGCCCCATTTTGTAGCCACGGAGCCCTTCTGGTCAAACTCGCCCAGATCGTATCTGCCAGGACATGAGGTTAGATATGGGTCCACGTCTGGCCCTGGAGCTCTTCACGAAGCGTCACTTACAGGTCATAGATATCGTATCCGTTGCCCTCGTTGCTGGACCCCTTGCATCTATTGCAGAAACCCAGCACATGATGGTCAGCTTGATGATAGGCGCCAGCTAATGGCTCCAGATACTGCCGAGTACAATCATTGAGCGGACAGGGGGTGTACTTACCCCGGAGGTACCCAGATGTTGTCGATGCCCCAGGCCTTTAGCTGAGGGATTCTCTTATCCAGCCGTACCCAGTGCTTACCATCGGCAGGCACATACCTGTAGAAGCTTGGGTCAGTATAACAGCCAGCGGGTAGTGTTATTTTCTGAGATGGACTGACCATTCGAATCCCTGCATCATGGTCATGTTCTCGGGGGTTGGTTCTTGGGACCCCATCTTGGGCTATAGAGTGTTGTTCGCTGGCTGAAAACGACGAGGAGGAGGAATCCAGGGGGATCGAGTGATATACAGTTCAAGGAGAGTAGGGTGACGGCCTGGGAGCAAAAGAAGATAATGTGCGGGCAGCGGCGCAGAAGATGTACATGCGCACATCTACACGCCCAAGGCGGCAGGCGGGCTCCTAGCTCCATTGTGACGCCGCGCGGAGGCGAGCTGAAACTTGGAAAGCAGGCTTATGTTGCATGCATATAAGCATGGTCTCGGTTGTCTCGACAGACGGGTGACGCTGCTTGGGCAGCATCCTGCGTGCCTGCATCGCAGGCAGCGAAGCGGGCAGGTCTAGAACGCGGTCTCTGCTGCGATGGTGGCGACCCGGCAGGCTGGAGGATGATGCAGCCATGGCACGTTGCCGGTATTGTGGCGTCTCGCCTTGGCCGGACTGGAACCTAGCTGTCGGGACCGCTGGCGGTGCTCGCAGGATCATGACGTCGATGCTGAGGCACCGCAGCAAGGCACGCAAGTTCAACACACTTCAGGCGCAATCGCTCGGCGGGAGCGGAGACTAAGCTGGCCAATAACAGCAATGCCAATAGCAGGCTCTGTGCGGCTTTTCCCAACCATTTTCCAACCAGCGTCGATCCCGTCCGCCATCCCGATGGGATCGAGAGCAGGAGGATCGCGTGTGTTCTGCTCGGCCGAGCTTCCCCAAATAGCAGCGGTGAGAATATGAGTCTGCGAGACTTCATGTTCTATCTCGATTGGCGAAGTAAGTTACTGAAGGTACGCATGGAGGATATACTGGTCTCGGACAGGGACTACCTCTGGAAAATTGGACATTGTGGGTTTATTTTCCGACCCTCCTTTGCAACAGCCTTGATCACTTCATGAAGCCGCCTCAGAATGACGTCAAACGTGCAATTCATGCCAGAACAGAACCACTGGAATTCAAATCACATTCGGCAGCATCCCTCTGAGACGGGAGGAGAAGATGGCGAGACACAGATCGGGCGGACAAAAAGAAAGACAGTCCAAACCCCCCTCACTCCCGAACGCGCCTGTTCTCCGTTGCTCCATTTTGTCCACGTCGCAGGTCCTCGGCGGCGGGCTCTGGCGGGCTCTGGACGAATTGCAAAGGTCGGCTGCACTGATTGGGGCTCTGATTGGGACATGTCAGAGCGCTGCCAACAGGGGAGTGGCCCAAATTGGGCCCGCTTTGCCGGGGCAACCGCGCCATCGGGCAGCGGTAAGCGAAGTAAACAATACGGTTCTGGGGCGCTTGGCGCAGCTCGACACCACACAGCTGTCCACCCAGCTGCCCACCACACAGCTGCCCTCGGATAAACGAGCTTGCAGGCGACGCACAGCACGACGCACGAATCACGGCCGTGGGGGCAGACCCCTGCCCACGTCTTTCCTATCACGACAGCCCATTTGCCTCGCGCCAGCTGTTGCAACCGTTGCCGGAGCGCCTGCAAACAACCACCACGCCACCCAATCCCAGCCCGCGCTAACACCGCCCCCGGTATAAACTCGATTGCCTGGACCGCCTGTCCGTCCGCTTTATCCCCCAGCTATGCCGCGACCCGCCGACCTCGCCTGCGACGACTTCGAAATCCACGTTGACCAGTCCTGTCTGAACACACCCATGGACGAGCAGGCTGCCACTAACATCTCGGAGGTTGTCGAGCCCCGGGACCAGAACGACGCTGTCCCCGACACCAAGGCAAACAACAACCCGGCCGAGAGCGGCAAGACCGAGAGTGCCACAGCAGCTGAAGAGAAGGCGGGCGAGGGGACCGACGCAAACGCCACCAAGCCCGAGGCAGGACAAGAAAATGACGCCGCAGACACACCTCAGGAACCGCCCGCAGGTCATGTAAAAGAGTCAAACACGGAAGAACACACATACAGTGACGACGTTTCCGAGGCCCCTGAACACGCCGAGCCTGCCGAGGGTCTTGAGGGCGACGCTGGCGGCGATAGCAGTTCTCAGCAAGAAGACGACGTCTTTAGCGACCACAGCCCGCGCAGCTCTATGGGCTCCGTTGACATTGGTGAAGGCGGTGAGAAGCCCGAGGGCGACGACGGAAAATCCCACGACGACTACGGGCGCTCGGCTCGAATCTCGGGCATATCCGACTTTTCCAACCTGGACTCCAATCTGGACGAGGACGACGTGTTCGTGCCCGAAACGAGGGGCACACCTAGACACGCCTTCCGCACCACCTCGACCGTTCGAGCCATGCAGATGTCGTCGCCGACCGCCTCGGTATTCTCGACACCGCGGTCCTCGGGCGGTAGCAAACGGCCCATGGCGATCCCACCACACTCGGCCCCGCGCCTCAGCAGCCCTGGTGGCTCAACCCAGTACTCGCCCAAGGGCAGGTCGACGCCGACGCGGTTCAAGGTTAAGAAGGAGCCCGCCCCGCTCGTCCTGCTGCACGCCACCCTGCTACCGCTGAGGTGGACATGGGGGGATATCCTGGACGAGGGCTTTGGGATTCCTGCCGAGGACGGGTCTGACGTAGGCTGCTTCAAGGCCAGCGAGGATCTGAAGCGGCTACGCGACAACTGGAAAGAGCTGCAGGACCGCATGGGAGACACTGTGCTGGAGCGAGGCATCTTGCTGCCGCATCCTCAGAGCGATTATGAGGTGCTTGAGGAGCGGCTGCTGGAGGCACTTGAGCTGCCGATGCGTCGGCGCGCCCGCATCCTTGAGTGTGGCCACTACCTGGGGCCCTCCAACATGACGTACGTTGAGAGCAGCGAGGACGATACGACGACCGACGAGAGCGACGGCGACTACGCGGCCACGCCGTCGCGCCAGACGCGGCGCCGGAACGGCGCAGGCGGTCGCGAGGCGCGGCATTGGTGCGGCACCTGCAGGTCCGACATCAAGTATGAGGCCCTGGGCCCCGGCAAGGTCTTCCGAGTCAAGATCTACGCCAGCAACGGACTTATGCGGGCCGGCGCCTGGGAGGCTTGCTGGAAGGAGATGGAAAGAGTCGACGCGGAAATAGAGCCTGTTCTGGAGCCGGCGCTGCAGACCGAGCTCGAGCAACTTGAGACCTGGCAGGCTGCCGAGCACCAGAGGCGCGAGGACGAGTTTGACAGGCGGGCATCCGAGGAGTTCAGCCGACACGCAGAGGGGGACGTCGACCAGCGCACAGACGAGGAGCTGATGCGGGAGGCCGAGGCCCACCTGGCTGCTGCTGAAGCTGAAGCTGCCGCACGCGAAGCCGAGTTCGAGCCTGAGCAGACTCACGAAGACGGCGAGGATGGGATCCAGGAAGACGAGAAGCAGGAGGACTCCTTCGCAGACGAGACTGTGCACCGCGAGTCCCTCGACCCTCAGGACTTCCCGACTTCGCCGCCCCCAATGGATGCGCCCTCATCGTCGGGCCAGGAGCACCACGACGAGGAGGAAACCGAGGGGGACACGGATTCCGTGGCGGCGGAGCTGGACGCGGAGCGCAGGCGTCGCGACGAAGAGCGCCTCCGCGAGATCTACGGCCAATCACCCTCGGCGTCGGCTCGCCGGGAGAGCGTCGACTTCAGGCTTCATGGCAGCCGGGTCTCCTCCCCGGCGCCGGCGCCACGCTCCCCAAGACACAGCGTGCTCTCGAGCCCAAGCCGCCGCGAAAGCCTCCTGTCCGACAACCTCGAGGGCCGGCCGTCGGGCCACCGTGACAGCATGCTCTCGGGCTCCCATGGGGCCCAGAGCCCGGGCGGCGGACGGGACAGCCAGCAGCGCATGCGCCCAGACGAGAGCATGGGCATGGGCGAGGACGGCTTCATGCCGCCCCGCAGCCCCGTGTCGCCCAGTGTCCGATCCTTCGACCAGCGGAGCCAGAGCGCCGGGAGCCAGAGCAGGAGGTCGATGCGCGTGGCTCTGCACGAGCAGCACGCTCCCCGCCCCAGTCATCCCCTCCGCCGAGAGACGCATCAGTCGGATCAGTCTCTCCCGCATGACCAGCAGTCCTCCTACCGCCAGGGGTCTCCTCATCCCCATCAGCAGCCCGCCGCCGGATATCCTCCCGACCAACACCCGCCGCCGCAGCAGCAGCAGCAGCAGCAGCGGCGGCGCGGTGACGAGTCGTTCTCCGAGCTGCTCATGGAGGCCGCAAGCGTGATGCTGCGCGACCGCAAGAACGTCGCCATCGCGGCGCTGGGATTCCTCGTCCTGATATTCGCCATGCGCTCCCCGTCGGCGGCCGTCTCGTATAGCGCGGCCGAGCGGGAGGCCGACATGATGCGGACCCTCTACATGCAGCAGCAGCTCCAGCTGCAGCAACAGCAGCAACAACAATTCCTTCAGCAGCAGCAGCAGCAACAGCATCATAAGCAGCAGCACCACCAGCAGGAGTCGGCTGCGACGCCGCTGCCGGCCGAGGTCGTCAGCGCCCTGGGGAGCTCCTCGGCTCCGGCGGTCGAAATCGCCCAGACGGCCGCGAAGCCCGCTCCCGAACCTGCCATGGGTCCCGAAAACTCTCCCGAGCCCGCACCCAAGGATTCCCAACACGGAGAGGGGCCCGTCGCCGCGGCCGTCCCTCCCGCGGAGAAAGAGGTGGTCAAGGTGTACGAGACGGTCACGGAGACTGTCAAGATCACCGCCACCGAGAGCGTCGCCGAGCCGACGGCCGCCGCGACCGAGCCCGAGCCCGAGGCCGAGGGCGCTAGCGCACCACTACAAGGTCCCATAGAGGCCGAGCCCGAGGCTGAGGCCGAGGGCGCTAGCGCACCACTGCAAGGTCCCATAGAGGCCGAGGCTGCTGCGGCCTCCGACACTATTGACGGCGGGCCCGAGGCTGACGCATCGGAGCTGGCGGAGCTTTTGGACAAGACGGCTCCGGAGCCTGTCGAGGTCCCGATTGACGCAGAAGAGGAGAAGCCAGCCCGAGAGAAGGCCGGGCTCGAGGTGGACGGGCAGCAGGCCCTCGAGCCTGAACTGGAGGCCGGTGACTGGGAGTTCGTGGCTGGCGACCACGATGAGCTGTGATCGTGTGCTTACAGTTGGATAAGTGTGTCTCTGGGCGGCCTTTTCCTTTGCCATGAAGTGAAGAATCTTACGCAACGTTTCTTGTCTTCTCCTCCTCTAGCCCCATTTCGGCCTCACGGATGTGGATAATGTCATTTCCGGGGGGTTTTTTTTTTTGCTCACCATGTCTCCGTCTCTCTTTGTGCATAATACCGGCGGGATGGGTGTGGGACGCACGCACTGCTTGGCGTGGCGTGGCGTGTGTTTAGTGTTATGTTGATTCCTACTTAACCAGCGACCTTTATTGTTATGCGCCACTGTGAGGCTAGGTAGATGGAAGGTTCTCCAATGCTTGTGAGGGCTCTAAACACGTATCTGAAGTTCTACAGCCGCCTTTATTTGTATACTAACGTTTCTGTGGTCGGTATGGGACTCGGGCAAAATACGTCGCATGCTGCCCCCCTGGTCGGCTGGCGAAAACTGGATAGGAAATTACAGCTCGAGCATCTGCTCTAATGTGTTAACCCCCGAACACCGCCTCTCACTCTGTCGCTGACTCTACACAACCCATCTTTCAGGACGACAGTCCTGAACGTAGTGCCAATGCTGAGCGGACGTTGTCACGATAACCTAGGCGGACCTGCGGGTCCACTCGAGTTTGCCCATCACGAAATTCACGAAATTCCAGCGCGTAGATGGAAGGAATCACTTATGGGCACAAGTAATCAAGGGCTTGAAATGATGTATCGCAGACGTAACTATGCAACGCTAAGAGCAGGATATTTGGACCAGAAGCTGTGGGGGAAGAAAGTAAAAGGAGAAGAAATCAACCGAAAAAAAGTATCAACTTGAGCTTGGGGAACCCTTTCTCGAGGGAAACTTAGGGTATTGAAACTTGCAAGACCAACCTTGCACGGCGATAATAACAAAACTTGAAAACGGAGACAAAAGGTGTGACATAAAATCAAGGGGAAGAGTTGAAAGAAACCGGGTACTTGGCTAATCGAACACTCAAGAAAAAAACCCCGTGATGTGAGTGATTGTTTCAGTCCTTGGCGATTTCTTCCTGGGTTGTCTTGTTGCTCTCGACATCCTCGCCCCCGGGATCTTCACGAGGACTGGCAAGCGCACTGGAAATGGCGCCAGAGTTGCCGTTGATGCTGTCGGCCCGAGAATGGCCCAGCAGTCCGTTCCGGATGCTTGCCGCCTCCGCAACACTAGGGGCGCCGCCTCCACTTGATGGCCCAGCTCCGTTGGCGGCAGCGCTAGCCTTGTCTTGCAGCTCCTTTTGCTGTTTCGACGCATAGAAGCTACTCCGGTCGCCAGGGATGATTCCGCTCGTACTGTATATGCTGGCCCTCTCGGCCACCATCCGTGATGACGGAACCGCCCCCGGCGTCGTAGGAACGGCCGGCACAGGGTCGATGGTAGCCGAGAGGACAGAAAGAGGCAGAGACTCACGAGAGCCGCCAAACACAGATGAGGGGGCAAGGGCGCGGACACTGGCGTTGGTGTCGAGGGAACGTCGCCGGCGACCCTTGGAAGACGATGCTAGAGTCAATATGGAGGCGTTGTCGGTCAGCAGCCCGTTGGCTGTCGCGGTTGTATACGTGTGCTGTGGGCTCTGCTGGCCCAGCATGGTGGCGCCAGCAGCGCCTCCCGAGGGGTTCAAGTGGGGCGGAATGGCCGACGCGGGAGTGCTCGGAAAAGGCTGGTTAAAGTGTATGACTTGTGAGCTGCTAGCTTGGTGATGGCTATGGTGGTGGTGGTAGCTGCCGCCGTTGCCCTGGTGGGGTTGATATGGGTGCCCGCCCAACGGTAGCGACTGGATCGTGGTGAGGGTCGTGGTCATGGAGCGGACGGAGGGGGCGGGTGAGGAGAAGGTGCTATCGCCTCCTCTGCGGGACTCGAGGCCGCCGTTGGCGGTGCGGCTGGTGCCCGTCACCGAGGAGGCGCCGTGCGACGGCGCGGCGATGGAGTGGGCGGCTTCGTGGTCGGTGGAGACGGTGGGGGCGGTCGACCGCGCGCCCGCCGTTGGGGCTCGGCCGCGTGTGCTGTTGGTGGAGGAGCGGAGCGACAGAGTCCGCCCCAGAGAGGTTGCACTTGATGTCACTCCACTGGGGGATGTGGAGAAGGAGCGCGTGCTGCCGCCCTGCAGGTGCTGCTGCTGTACATCTGCCGCCCCGTTTCCTATTCTTCCAGACTCGGGATATGGGTTGTTGTTCTTGGACGCCCGCTGTTTTGACGAGGATTTGGTGTGTTTTGAGCCTGTTCGGCTGTCGTCGCCCGAGTATCCGCCTTTGAAGTTCCTGAGCTTCTTGACCAGCGTGGCGAACGGCCGCCGCCTGCTATGGCGATCTATCCATTTCATAGTCACGTTAGCTTTGCTGTCGCCTGGGGTCGCTGGCAAGTATTTGCTTATGGCGCCTGAAGCGGCTCTTCCGAAGCCGTGGCCAGGGAATCGTGCATGAGGGCAGAGGTTTGGGCTCCGGGGAGACAAGCAGCAGAGGCCGCAGTCGAGATCCGTTGGGAGAGGATTGTGCGCACCTTGTGACACCGTCTCTATCATGGCCATCGTAGATTGGGCCGACGACTTGTCTTGGCCGTCGTAGAATGAGGCGGATGTTCGAGTGGTTCGGCCGGATCCGGTGGCAGCGCTTTGGTCCTGGTCAAAGAAGAGCAGACCTGAAAGTCGGCCGTAAGGAATCCGTGAGGAGGTGGTCAGTCAATGGGGGCGGCTGGGCGTAGTGTAGTTCGAATCGATCCGAGGGAAATGGTGGTCGCGTTCAGGCGTGCTAGGCTGAGCGAGCGCCGCAAACGTGGGGAAGAGAGCGGCTGGAGGGACAAAGGCAAGCTAGAGCGGGAGGTGCGGACGCGGCGGCGGCGGCGAGAAGACAGGCGGGATCAGATGGAGCTTGTGTTTGTTTGATGACGCCAGGGAAGCTGTGGTGGTATGGTTTACGGGTCGAGAGTTTGGGTTGTCGTTCGGGCGTTGTTCGGGTTGGGTTGACTGGTGCGTGAACGTTGCCAGTGCCAGCCCAGCAGAGTCATGGAAGCAAATCAAACCCTTCCCGAATCTTCGGGTTTGGGGTCTGCTCGCCTCGCCAAGCCACGGATTGTGGGGCCTTGGATAGCGGACCCAGTTGTCTCTCCACCACGTGATTGCCCTGTGATGTCAACGCTCTAGACCAGCCTTATCCCCATCGCCCGGTTGCAGTTCGTAGCTTCGATCGTGGACCGGCCAGCTTGGCGCGATCGCCCCTTGCTTGTGCTGGAAGGGTGCATCGTATTGTCCCATCGCCAGCTCTAGAGCCTGAGCCATCGTGCATGGTGGCACTGCTGGGACCGAGCCTCCGGATGCGAGCCTTCTTCGATTGCTTCACCGACTTGCGCTTGTCGAGCTCGAGCTAAAGCCCTCTATCGCTCCCTTGGATCACTGCCAAGCACGCCAGTCCAGATGGACCGTCCACGGCGGCCATGTCAATAAAACGGTTGCCACCAGAGGTGGTGGCCCAGGTCAAGTCCTCGTCGGTCATCACCTCGCTCAATGGCGTGGTGCTTGGGCTTCTCCGCAACTCGCTTGATGCCAAAGCAACCAAGGTCAACGCCTCGGTGGACTTCCGCCTCGGTAACTGCGCCCTCGAGGACAACGGCACCGGAATCTCGTCTGCCGAGTTTATGGACGATGGTGGGCTGGCGAAGCCTCACTGTATGCGCCATCTCCCTCCCTACGTGATATCGAATGGGCCCCATGTTGACAATGACCATTCTGCCAGTCACCTCAAAGTATCCTCCCAGCGAGGGGGTCTACGGACATCATGGCCTGTTTCTCTATTCCGTTGCTTCCCTGTCGTTGCTCTCTATCGCCTCGCACCATCGCTTGCAGACTTCCCACAATTCTTTGCTTGTCCACAACTCTCAGATTGTGTCCCGCCATACCCCTGCGCTTCCCAGCCAACAGGTCCTGGCCTTTCCTCATGGCACTCGTGTGTCAGTCCGAGACCTGTTCGGCTCGATGCCCGTTCGGGTTAAGCAGAGGGCACTCGATGCCGAGAGGTCAGGAGCCGGCCGGGACTGGGACCAGCTCGTCCGTATGGTAGTGGCCCTACTTCTTGCTTTCCCCGGCGAAGTGTCTGTTACCTTGCGCGAGTCCAGCTCCGCTCGCCTCCTGAACCTGAGCGCGGGAGGCCATGAAACCGCCCCTAAAACCACTCACCTTCTCTCACGAGCCTTGCTTTGGGATCACGCCAACTCCGCCTACTGGGTGCCGCTGGGCGCATCTTCATCTGGCGTCATTGTAGACGGCTGCGTCTCTCTTGTGCCCGCACCGACCAAGAGATTGCAATTCATCAGTTTCGGGATTGAGCCCCTGGCAGAAGATCTCGGGTCGAATATCATCTTGGGAGAGGTGAACAAAGTTTTTGCAAACTCCAAGTTCGGTGCAATTGAGGACGGTCCCAGCCATAAGTCCGGCTATCCAACCCCTGTCGGCACGGAGAAGGACTACACAACCAACGAACTCAGGGTCAAGAAAGGAATTGATCGATGGCCTGTCTTCTTCGTTCGGATATCTCTCGACGCGCACGCAGCAAATCGCACAATGAATCCAGACGACTTCCTAGATGAATATCACAATAGCCTCCGGATGATTGTGGATCTTCTCCGGGCTATATCATATACTTTTCTCAAAAAGTACCACTTCAGCCCTGAGCGAGTCAACCTCGTATCCCAGCCCAAGTCGCGCACTTCACCGCCTGTAGAGAGGTTTCTGTCTGGCTACAGTGGAGACTCGGACGCCTGGTCTGCCAGCGGATGTGAATCCAGGAATAGCCCACCCGATGGAAGCCTCAGAGTTTGGCGTGCACCGACCAGAACGCCAGAGAATCCGTGCTCTGGGTACAAAAGCTTGGGGATTGAAACGGATATTATCGGACAGAACTCAGATTCCCTGGGAGAAGAGAAGCGGGCTGGACATGTTCCTGAAAATCCCGAAGATCTACGGCCAACCGTTTGCGCCCAAGACCCGCGCCAGCCAGCGAGGCCAAAAGCGGATTCGGCCATGCGGCAAGAGAAACCCATTCTCGATGACTGTGCCCCAGAGGGAACATTCTACTGGCATGACGCAGTGACGGGGGCACGATCTGTAGTTGATTCGAGGACAGGCTTCATCTTGCCAGTCATGCCCAAGGAGATCCTGCAAACTTCCGAGTCCCCGAAGCACTCAATTGGTGTTGACTCGAAGTCAGGAGGAAAGGAGCCTAGCCCGTGGCTCAAAGACATTCTCTCTCGCTGGAACAATCCCGTTTTCGAGATAACTGAGCCATCCATACCACGCCTCCCTGATGTAGAGGCTACTATGGCGTCCACCACCAGTAACCACAAAGAAAGTGGGTGTTGCTCCGTAACCCTCGGCCACAGAGAAGACAAAGCATCCTTGGCGGTGGAAAGTCGAATCTCCAAGGCGGATTTGAGGTACTCGGAGGTGATCTCTCAGGTCGACGGCAAGTTTATCCTCGTCAAGGTGCCTGTACCTGGGCCGAACAATACGGGACATGCGAGTGTGGACCAGGAGAGCGGAGACGCTAGCCACCAGGAAGGTAACCGGGGAACAGTCCTTATCCTCGTCGACCAGCATGCGGCAGATGAAAGGTGTCGAGTGGAAGATCTCATGCGAGGTTATTTCGAAGACGTTGGTAGTAGCAAAGTAGATCCCATATGGAGGGCTCGCACCGAACACCTGGATGGCGCGCTCTGGCTTGCTCTTTCCTCTCAGGACTGCGCCCTGCTGGAACGATTTAAGTTTCACTTTGAGAGGTGGGGGATACTATACAGGGTTTTCGGTTCAGATGCCACCGCTACCCTTTCGCTCACGAAGAGTCCGATATCCAGGAGGGCAAGGGCGGGAATGATTCTAGGTAGAAGTGGACACGGCGGCAAGGGTATATCCGTGACGAGCCTGCCTCCAGCCATAGTTGAAAGATGCCGGACCGAGCCCAAAATGCTCGCCGAACTACTCCGCGCAGAGGCTTGGAGGCTCGAGGGGGACCAGGCACTAGCGCGCGCAGCGGACACGGCCCAGGGCCTCGTTGGGCTAGTGCCGGGCTGGGAAGACCAAGATGCATCGTGGATATCCAGGTTTCATGGCTGCCCTCGAGGTATACTGGATTTGATCAACTCCAGGGCCTGCAGAAGTAAGCCCTCACTTGTCACCCATTACCCACTGGGCAGTTTGCAGAAACTAATCACCCGATCTTAGGCGCCATCATGTTCAACGATCCTCTTTCGCTTGGAGATTGTCAAGCGCTGCTGGTGCGCCTCGGTGCGTGCGCTTTCCCGTTCCAGTGCGCCCATGGGAGACCGTCCATGGTTCCCTTGCTCGACCTTGGGCCTGAGCTGCCCCTTCAAAACATGAGTGCCGATTTTGGTAGTTGGGGCCATGAATATCCGTCTCAATTTGCTCTCTAGTATAGAATACAAGAACCAGCTTCACTATCCGCCGACCCGAAATGCGCCTAGGCCACATATTCCTTCACGAACTCTGAGATTGGCTTTCGCGAGCGCCACTCAGGCTGCTCGTTCCTCGAGCGCACGTCGCGGGGACCGTCATTCGGCTGCATCTGCTCCATCTCCATGTCGGCGCGCGTGTCACCAAAGTGGTGGTTCGAGTTCACTCTTCCCCTGTACCTGGGGTCAAAATCATCATCGCCTCGCCGGCTGTCGTTCGCCATATCCTCTTGCGGCGTGGAGACCCGGTCGTCTTCTTCGTCGAGCTGCCGGTCCGCGGCCCGCTGCGAGCGGTTATACAGGTCGCGTAGCTTGCGGAGCAGCTCGGCGCCGCCCCTGTCGGTCCCGAGGTGAACCCATCCCTTCGCGTTCTCCGGGTCGGCGAGGCGGGCCTTTCGGTAGTAAAGCTTGCGTCCGGCCACCATGAGCAGGAGGAAGATGTGCTGCCGGAACAGTCACCGTCAGCGGTCACTTCAAGTGCATCCGTACGGTCTTGGCTGTGCTTACCGGTAAATAAGGGCCCATGAATAAGGTACCTTCGGCTCCTTTCAACCACATGGAGCTGCTGGTGAAGATGAAGATGACCAGACACATTGCTATGACGTAGTATGCCGCGAGTGGCTGTAGCCACGACAGTACAGTCCGCGACTGGTAGTGTCGTGAAGTCCCAAGGAATTATTCAAGCTCAGCGTCTCCAGCGAGGTAGTCTTTGCACTTATACGTCCTGCGATTGGGTCCAGGCGGTTATCACGTCGGTTAGCAAAAACTTTCCATATTTGGTGCGTTCTTGGTCGCTAGAGAGTTTCCAGGGTACAGCCATCATACCATCTTCGAAACCGGATATACGCGAAGCATATGGCAGCCCACACTATAAGCGTCAAAACATTCTGTGACACGCCGATTATATATAAAAGCTACGAGGAAGGCGTGGAAATCATCAGGGCGGTTAGCGGAATGGAATCACCCAGTAAATGGGGATGGCGAAAAAGGCTCGGAATTGGGGGCTCTCACATTTTTGACCCCTTGATTGCCGTTCGCTTTGGCAATATGAGTGAGGTATCACGCTTGGCGATACCGGATTGGGAAAGTGGCATGTCTGTTTCTGGCTACCACGGGCGCAGATTGTGCGTTGGCGGTCCAGGTCTATCCATCGAGGTGGGCCGTGCACTCACGTGCCCTGGGCCCCACCTCATACACAATATCCAGGTAAATGATGATGTACATGGTGGGTGCACCCGTTGTCTGCTAGACCACGCTGGTGTTGCGCTGGAGCCACCTCCGAACGGCGCCGCCGCTGCCGCCCTGGTACGTGAGCCCGTAGAGGGTCCGGCTCGCCACGTATAGCGACGCGTTGGCGGCTGACAGCGTCGTGAACACCAGGATCCCGGTGACGGCCGAGGCCACCGCAGGCCGAAAGGTAGCGTTGCACGGGTCCAGTTTGCGAAACACCTTTCCACCGGGCTGACGCCGATGACAACAGCACTAGAGGTGACATTGTGCCAGCACACTGGGTCGGGGGCGGCCCGTGGGTCAAACGGTAGCAGAAGGCCGCCGTGGTTCCATTGAACCGTCAAAATGATGCCGAGGGTGCAGAGGAAATAGATAATGATGACGGTCCAGTGCGTAAGCTGAGACCAGAGTCGGACTTCTCGCATATTGCGGACCTCGAAGGCTGCCATAGCGAAAGTCTCGATTCCAATGTAGCTAAAAGGGGGAGCTGGGGAGGAGGACAGGCTGGCGGCCATTGGGGATTCCAGCGTGCCAAGATCCGGATGCCTCCTTCCATGGGCTCCGCGTCACCCACACCCAAATGAGGGCGCCCGACGGCCAGGTGACTCAGCCCACCGCTGTTGAGCTTCCGCAGGGCAAACGGTAGAAATGCCGCGCTGATTCCATCCCCGAGAAGGAGCCAGCGGTCTGGCCAAACGCAGATATCGAGGGGTTTGCAATAAGCTACAGCGCAACCTGGGCTCACCAACCTGGCCGCAGAACGCCGATCACGTCGCAATATGTAATAGATCGGTGCATGGCCTTTGGCCTGCACCGCCTTGGTGGCTTGTGTGGCTGTGGCTACACGATATATAGTGCCCTCGGCGACCACGGGAAAGGGTCCCATTTGGATCCTTCCTGCACCTTTGTTAATAACCTCGTTCTCCCACAACGGCATCCGTGCCCTTCGGATCAAACCGTAACACAATATTACCTCGCTAGCTTGTGTCCCCCTCTCCGCCCTCTATATAGACAAACACATTCGTATCAGCAGCCGGAAACCTTGCCGTTTTATCGGAACCCACCGCAGGACATACACCAAGAACAAAATCGGGGCCGAAATGGCTGCCGCGGCGACTTTCACCAACGTCCTGAGCGTAGGACGTTCGACCTACGTTACCGACAGCAGGTTTCTCCATGAGTATTTGAAGGAGACGTTCGGAAAAGAGATCAATTTCAATATTGCGGTACCATTTCAGCCCTCATCCCTGTTGACCCTCGGCTTGCGCATTCCAGGGAAAAATAGCTAACATTGATGGCTCTTTTTGGGACAGAGTTTCAACGATCGGTGGTCTTTTGAGCTGGACAGAAAATTACCCAAGGTAAACTGGCTAAAAAAAACCACGAGCTTCTTCCCGCCAAAGTTGACGACTTTTGACTGACAAGAGGAATTCTACCTACAGGAAGAGCTCGAGTAAGTCGAGGCCTTGACTATTTCCCGAAACCATAGCACTCTGTCGGCTTTGTCAACTGACGCGCCAATATCGATTCGCAGGAGACTGGCCACCGAGGTTGCGAACCGATGCGAGGAGGCCTTGAAGGCGGCCCGGTCTAGTCTCAACAGGGCCAGACCGCAAGAAGACATGGACTTGAACACCAAGATGCCCCAAATCGCTGGCGAGGATTTGCCGGGAAGAAATTCCCAGGGTGACAGGCGAGCGACGGGGTAGACTGGTGAGGCAGTTTCATGGGGGCTGATGACAACCCTGTAGCCTTTGAGTTGGATTACCGATGGCTCTGCTGTCTTGGGCGGCACGGATGGTTGCATGTCACACCCTTGGCGGTATCACATAGCCACAGCCAGTACAGCAGGTTGCCCAGGAGGGGCGAGGGAGGTTGGGCTGTGATCCCTGGTTCAGGCAGCTGTACCCGGGTGGGTAGCAGGAGCCCAGGTTGTGATCGAGGTCAGGCTACGGCTGGACGAAGTTCCCTTGTGCACCAGCGGCGGCTAAGGGTTTACCATCCCCCGAGAAAGTCCAACAAAATCTCAGCACTTGCTGACCATAGCGGTTGCGATTTCTGTTTCTGGTCTCGGTCGCCAACTCACCTTCTGCTTTTGATCTGACACGCCACAGGACATACAAATAACATGAGGCGAGGCTAAATTATTTGTGACTTTTTATACAATCGACAGTTCCTGTCGGCCTTTTTGTATTGCTGTCTCATATTCACCGTTGATAAAAGACCATACCCCAACAGCCAGAAGCAGAACTGTGAAGCGAGGCGTCGCCATCAAGCCTAGGCAAGGACTCATTGCACCAGAGCTCCTCTACTGTTTGTACTCGACTCCCAACCATCCACCCCCGGAGCCTGTACGATGCAAAGCCAAGTCTGGGACAGCTATTTTGCCCAAGCTTTCCCGGCCTTATGGTCTTCTGAATGCTGTCGCCTCCGGGCACAGCTGCAAGAGCGAGAGCGCCCAGGGGAAGGGACGCCTTTCGCGACGTCGAGCAACTTCAAGATTACAGACATCTCTGGAGGTTAGCCTGCGGCGAAGTTCGGCCAAACTGAACGGTCCCAACTGACCACGGTAGCAACCAATGCCAGGCGTACCCCGTACTCATGTGTTCAATGACGCCACCAGCCTGGAAAGGCTCGACCGCGCTGTCGAAGATCCAGCGAGCAAGGGTGTCAGGATAATGTCAGTATCAACCCCGGCTTGCAAGCTCGTATATTGTGGCCAGCCATACTAAATATGCCGGCTTTGAAAAGATCGCTGGCAGGAACCCGGGGGACCAGCCCTCTCGAGATAACTTCGCCAGTAGCTGCACGGCTTTTGCGACAGCATTGGGTGAGGCCAGAATATTTGAGAATACTGCTATCCTTCGGCAACATACCGCTGGAACCTGAAGCAAGGAATAGCTACGTCAGCTTCCATCAGGACGTGAATGGAAATGGTACGGCACACGACCCTGATATCTCTCCTTGGTCGCTCACTCGGTCTCCCGCAAATTGCAAACTCCTGACCGTGGCATTTCCCAGTTTCTCTGGCATATCGGCTCGTGTATTCCGAGCGAAACCGCGCGGGAGCATGGACGCTGAGGCAGATCGGAATCTACCATCACCGGCCCCAAAGTAGAAGCTTGAGTGTCTTTGGTGACCTGCTCATTCTAGCAGCTGGCACCCGCCAGACTCGCTTTTTCGCGACTCTGGAGGAAGCTCTGGCTCCAAATCCGGCCGGGACACCAAATTCGGCTGCGAGGAGTCTGGAGACCAACCCCTGGTCATTTCACACGACTTTGCTCGCATGCTACGCTGATAGCTGGCGGGATTACTTCCGCTATTTAGGCTCCCAATATTCACCCATCGGCGACAGGGCCATGGGTACAATGGGCCTTCGAGTTGACGACGAGACGATCCGCAACGTCAAAACGCTCCGACACCTTTACGACCTCTCTTTGTTTGGCGGGGCTGCATGTGCTAGCAACGTTGACATTGCGCGCGCACTGGTGGCTCGCTTCCCGGCCATCCCACAGGGCGAAGCCGACTCCCTCAGGGCATCGGCCGACATGCTCGGGGAGCTGGCAGAAAGCTGCGGGGTGCTCCAGAAGAAGATCAAGAACGTGACGGACCTCGTGGGCCACCTGATCGCCTTCCACTACCAGGTGGAGACGGCCAAGCTAGAAAGCGAGGTGCGGGACGTGACGGCGCGCATGGCCACCCTCACTGAGGAGAACAGGGACCTCACGAAGCAGCTGCGCGAGCTGGCCGAGGGCACGAGCGAGATGACGAGGCGGCTGCGAGACCTGACGCAGAATACGGCCAGCGACGGCGCCATCGTCAGCGTCATCACGGTGGTTTCGGCCGTGTACCTGCCCGGTAGCTTCGTGGCGACCGTGTTCGGCATGAACTTCTTCAACTTTGATGAGGGCGCCCGCAGCATCATCATATCGCTAGACTTTTGGATCTTCGTGGTGCTCTGGGTGGTTTTGATGATTCTGACCGCGGGTATCTTTGCGACTATCTATCATATGAAGGGTGGGGACGCCTCGTTGCTATGGAAAAGGCTGACTGGCGGCGGCGGCGCAGGAAGAGCAGGGTCGAAGGTCTGATGAGTCGGTGGTTACACTACATGATGCGCTCCAATTTGTCTACCTATCGCTCTGAAGGCATAGGGTTACAGTGCATGCTGACCGACGCCGAGCTGCGACCCAAACACGAAATAGCGTCATTCCCACAGCCTTACCTGTCTGTCCTGAGACAACGCTACCAACTTCCAAGGAATAAGATCCAGCTGGCGGCAAAGTAAAGCCGGAGACTGAGGCCTCCGGGCACTTCCAAGCCGCTATCTGTGGCGGTTACCGCTTGCCCATGACCGAGCAGCACGTACGATGCGGAATGCAGGGGCGCTAGCCTTTGCCCGATCCTTTGCCCGAAGCTGGAGATTCACAGCATTAACAGCAAGCCACAATATTGGCAAATGTTTGGCCTCAGCCGCGCGAGCGTGGCAGGACCCGACTTCGAGTCAAACATCATGGGAGGAAAAACAGGGGTTGGCCACAGTGAGGGGAAACTAACACCTTGGCTCCGTTTGGTCCTTGCAGTAGGCCGCATGGGCACATTGAGGCAACACCATCTGCAAGCGGACGAGTTGTTTGGCTCTCGCCTGTCCCACTTCATTGACTAGGCCGACTATCGAGGGCCGCCCAGCCTGCCATCGTACCTACCCAGGTACCGGTACTTGTACCCCGAAATGTCGCGTGCGAACCATCCAAACGCGGGCTTGCACCGAGCTGCTCCTTCCCATCACCGTCACCTGCACCAATACACCCACGCCCGCCTCCCAATAGCAGGGTAGGACACAGCCAGCATCAGGCTTCCGGAGACTGGCTTGAGTAGGCCCTTGCTCGCCAAAACGGTAGCGAAGGACAGCTCCATGACGTACGTCAATCAATACTGGCGAAACATACCCCAGCGCCGTTTCCGACGACGAGTGTCCTACCAGCACATCAACAAACCTCTCGACCGCCCGTGCTTGTGTGACAGATGCGGCCGGCAACTTGACTTCTTGTCCTCCTAGTTCAAGAGCCTACTCTAGCTGTTTCCGCCTCCTGATAACAGCCGAGACGACGGGGGAGCGTGGATATACCGCAATAAAGATGACCTCCTAGCAAGAAATCCAGGACCTGCTCTGGAAGATCAGACGCGAGCTCATGAAATGCATCAGGCGCTTTGTCGCCGAAGGCATCGATTTCTCCTTCACCCGCACTTCGGATCTGAATCGAGCGTGGGACGATAGTCGGTTGCGCGCTCTCTTTGCTGGCGACCTTCCAGGAGGGCAACTAGACGAGACACAACTTAACCATTTGCGAAACAACGCCCTCCCCCTCCTCTCCTTTGCGTCTATCTTCACAGCATTCCTTGGAACTGGTTCGTCGAAACTTTCCCGCGCAAGGCGTTTCAAGAAACCGGCCAGCCTGATCCGCAGCTCGCTCTCATACTATCTCAGAAAGATCGCAGTCCCCAGGAGTTCAAGGAAATTGTCGAAGGGTTCATGGGGGATTCCATCGGGGATTCCATCGGGGACTCCATCCACCGCCTCGATTTCGACAAACTCTACTACTCCATCCCGCCCGAAACGGCCCGAAACGCTCCGATTTACAAACGAGCCTGAGGAGCCTATAAAGATATACGGAAAATGCGGGCTGCTAATAGAGACCCAGGAGGATCCCTTGTCAGAACGAGGCTCGCAAGGGCATGTCTACGTAGGTTTTTTGCCGCGACCCCGTCGTTTCGAGCCCATGGGTCATCATCATTCGTTTACATCACATACTAACCAGGCGCATGGTGGTTCGCTTAGTTCGGCAGAGTACATCCAGACAATGTCCAGGCGTATCCTTACAACCACCACCAGGCATTCAGACCGGTTCGTGACTATATGTTGGCCCAATGCATATAATGTGATCATACGCCCAGTATATGGGAAGATACAGGAGGCCACCTCATTCTAAAAACCTCTCCGCCCGGAAAGGAAAAGCCGTGCGCAGTCGCTGTCAAAGTTTTCAACAGACACCTGGAGGCCCTTCGTGAGGTCGAGAACCTGAGGCACCTTAAAGACATCGCGGGCAACCCGGACGGCAGATATCCCAACTCTCTCCATCACGCCATTATACACCACTATGCGAGCAATGAAGAAGACCAGTTGCCAATGCCAATGGTAATATTTCCATTTGCGGAGCTTGGGAATCTCTGGCAGTTTCTTTATGGAAGCTCTGCGGTTGGCGATGTTGATGGAACCTTTCAGCTCCTCAGCTTCGCGCAGCGTTTCCCCGACATCGCCGCACCACCGGAGGGGAAGGCGAAGATAGTTGGCAAAGAACTGCGGATGAGGCTCCTGGAGCAGTGCCTTGCTCTAGCTGGGGCCCTGCGGTTTCTTCACGGCCGCATCGAGCACCGCGACATGAGCTACAAGCTTGCGCATATGGGCCTAAAGCTCAACAACATCATAATATCATCACACCCGAACTCCCCCGTCGGAGTCTAGAAACTAGCCGACTTTGGCATATCGGTCATTCGCGGGCTTCCGCTGGAAAGCCGGAAGGCACAAGTCGATCCTTGGGGCCGACCCGCGCCCGCCACGATCGACACCACTGCGCAGCGTGGGACTAGTACATACCAGGCCCCCGAGGTGCATTTCTCGTGGCACGGCGGCAAAATACGGAGGGAGAATCCGGTGCGCGTGGGCCGCATGAGCGACCTCTGGTCCTTTGGCGCCATCATTGCCGAGGTGCTCGCTTTCGCCGTAGGAGGCACTGATGAGTTCGAGGCCTTTCATGGACATCGCCGCGGGCTAGTGGCTGAGGATGCGATCAGCAAAACCGACTTCTTCTGGGAGGTCCCACGGGGATACATGGCTGGTGTTCCCAACGCTCAACCTCATCCACAAACGGGCGGGGCTGAGGGAGGCAATCAAATATATCCTGCCCAGGTTCGACCCGGTGTCGTCCAGTGGCTGGCGAACATTGAGAGCAGCAACCCCGACTGTGCGCCTGGGTTCGGTGTGTTCGGGAGGCTCTGAAGGTTAATCCCAAGGACAGACCTTCGGGCGAGAAGCTATTTGACCTTGTACAAGATGTCCTCTACCCTCAGAAGGAGCGTACCCCCGATACGGAGCCACCCGTGCCGGAGCCTGGCCCCGAGCCTAACGCGAGCGAAGGAGGTTCGGGCCCTCACACACCGAGCTCTCGGCCGATCATAAGCGTGACCGCTCCCACATCACAAAACCGCCCTTACACCACGCAAAATATGCACTGATGCTCACTTCGTGAGCATCGACCAGTCCAAGATAGTTTATCTCGCCAAATCCAAGGTGTACATTGTCGGCATTCATGAGGAATCAGTCCAGCCGCTTGACCGGACTCTAAACCCACCATACGAGCAGCCGCTACCACATGACAGCGACGAAAAGTTATGGAAAGGAATTGCTTCCGCCGGGGAATACATAGTCTTGTACGGATGCGAACGGGGCGGGTCTCGATCATCTGTGGTAAGAGATAACCATTGTCTGTATCTCATGCACCGTTACCAGGTTGCGATACGGAAGCGTGCAGGACCCCTGATTAAGTGGCAGTCAACAAGGCGCTCTAACACTGAAATTTGCCATACCAACGGATCCGACTGCTCCGGTTCCGAAGTCACAACTCGAACAACAACCACAACCATGGGGACCCCTGGATCCCTCTTGGACCCCGACACAGCGACTCCGTGGCATAGTTTAACTATGCGACGAGGGTCGCGGTTTCTCCCGAAGGGCTCGTTGTTCTCATTGCTGGCGCGGGAAAGGATCTGCTGATGCTCAACGCAAAGTATGTTACCGCCCGCCCCGATTCGCACTCAAGAGCTCGGGCCTACGGTGGACGTGGTATGAGAGCAATCAACTTACACGCATATTTACGCCAGCTCGCCTACCGTAGACACAGTTCCACACGGGCCAATGATGGACTAAAACCTCGTATTTCAAGACGTGTCGTTTAGCCAAGATGGGATGATATTATATGCGGCTGGCGTTGCAGGGCCCTGGTATACTCTCGTTGCGTACACGCATCTCGGCCGAGTTTCACCTTGGTGGCGAAAGCCACATACAAACTCGTGAGCCAAAAACAAAAACCCCAACATCAGCGACTAAAAGATAAATATGCTGACAAGCCACAATTTCTTGCCTTGGGCAGGATGCCACATCGCTCCCTGTGTTCAAGGACAGAACGCTGCTATTTCCCCACTACCCCAGTCTGGGCTGCACTGTGGCCACGAAGAGCTTCATCTGGATCCTGGGCTGCCCCCTCGAGGAGTCGGCGACGGGGAGGTTACGGGGTCTGGGGCAGAATCCATTCAAGCCACAGCCGTGCGTGCTTGCAGTGCACGACGGCCGGCTACTCCTAACGGTGGACAAAACCGGAAGCTTGACTACACACGCCTTATCCGAAGCCGCCGCGCCGGGAGGCGACAGGCGCCCAACGACCCAGCTCGGATCACCGAAGAAGGGTGTTTACAAATTCTCAAGTGCGCCAAACCCCGGGTCGCAGCTGCGCGCTTTCGGCGATGCCGGCGCCACCTTGGTGCTACTGTGTCACGTCGACGGGGCCCTTGAAGTAGCCAGGATTTCGCCCCCTATCTAGTGACGAACTTTCTTTTTCTTCTTCCTTGCCCCCGATTCGGCTGTATTAGTTTTGCGGGCCGTTTATGCAGGGATTCTGTGATTTTATGATACCCATTGGTTTTCTGTTCCTACCCGCGTAGCTCTTCCTTACAATTTATGGATGATACGCACTCGTAACTCTTAATAATGTCTTTGAGGATGGAATGAGTACGGTATCAACTCTGAACAACCAATGACACGTCGTATTTGGCCAACTTTTGAGATGATGTTCGGTTGATATGTGTGAATGTGCAATCGTTCTTACCCAGCCTATCTCCGAGAATGGGGGATCCTTATTGTCTCTATCACCGACCGATCGCCCTGCCGTGAGTGTTGTGGAATTAAACCCTCACCTCGCGTACCAAGGCGTGCTAACTTTCACATTCAGCCTCATATCCTAGTCCCGAGGTTGCATGGCCTGTTCCAGCCCAAACAGCGAAAGCAACGCGAGTTGCCACTTTCCGCTCTTTCAATTTACTTTTTCTACCGATAATTGTTGATATGATGGACAATGCCATAAGGCATTGTCCTAATCTTCAGATACGAGTCGTACAGCGGACTGGACATGTGGATGGAGCGTGTCTGACCGATGTCAGGGCGTCTACAATAGACTGTTTGGAACGTCAATCGGGGAGGGGGATATTCCCATGGCTTCGCTCCCACGACCCCTACCTATACAAGATGCGGTGGCACGGCAGCGCCCCTCATCGTGCCACGAGACCTGCCAACTGGGGTCCTGACGCCGTTCGCCACGGACAGCGGTACTGGCGGGGACGGCAGCCTGCCCACCCCGATTGGACGCCGGCTCACGACCCTAGCACTGGGAGACGCTCCTTCTGGACCCCGAAGCCAAGCTCGGTTGGCACTACTGCTGAGCTCGAGGCATGATGTTGCTTGTTCAGCGCGGCGAGCTGCCGCCCGCTTTTGTGCAGATGATGGAGCAGCCCGATGCGCGGCCCCGGTTTGCTGATTGCGCACACTGTACCTGCTTTGCGGAGGCCCTCCTAGGTTGTCCCCAGCGCGGGGAAGCCCGGGTTGCCCCTTTGCAGAGCCTCTGTACTCAAACGAAGACAAAGGGGCAGGCAGCCTCCGCAATCGAAGGCATGGGAAGGAGACACGCATACACGGCAAAGGGGTCGATGAAATAGGCATTAGCCATGACAGCCTATAAATAGACCGACAGGCATGGTGCACCTTACCGTCGCCAATCGACCTCTCCACAAACAATGCGGCTCCTCACGGCGTCGCCGATTCATGCCCTCGCCCAGAATCCGCGGGCATAGCCACGGCGGCTGGTATAAGAGCGCGCTTCTTGCATCACACAGATCGACCCTTCTGGTTCCTTTCCTGAATCAACAGATCAATCATTTTCTCGGTCTTTACTGTTTGCTTTCTACTTTTCCTTCGTTCGTCGCCTCTCTTTGGCCACTTCAAACTTATCTCTATTATTTCTCTCCCTCTCTCGCGGGTCCACAAGATGCAGTTCTCCAAGATCCAGATCTTCGCCATCCTGGCCGTCGGTGCCATGGCCAACCCAATCCCCGCCGACTCGCCCACCGACGCCGCAACGCTGCAAGTTCGCGACGAGACGCATTTGCTAGTGGCCAGGAACTGCGAGGTAAGAGCCTCGTTCTAACATATTACAAGCGAGCAACATTCTGACTTCTCTTGTTGAAATCCAGGGTCGTTCGACCAAGGCTTCGTGCGAAAAGTTCTTGAGCGGCTGCAAATGGCTGCATAGCTCCAACTACTGCGTTGGCAAGTAAGGTTTTCAACTAGGTCACCGAACTAAGATCTGGGTGTGCACGAACTGGGCCTATAAACTGGTTGGGGGTGGGAGAGAATAAGGATAGATAGATATTTATAGACTGTTCTTGGAATATTATTCACGAACTTACAAGGCTGAAAGGGGGAGCTGAAATTGACAGCTTCAATCATTGTGCTGTGAACATGAACCAATGGCTGAAGAAGGACCAGGCAGATGCTCAGTAGCGCCGGCAGTCATGGGGGTGTTTGGAGTGATTTGATTGGCCCATCGGTGGGTTCAGTGGGGGCAGGCAGCCTGCCGCGCGGAGCTTGGGTGCGGACGTCAATTGTCCCTTGCTTGACCCGTCATCTCAACCCTGAAGCTCCGCGACCCAGCCGACCGCCGACCGAACCCGCCAGCCTCGGGAGAAATGTGACAATGGCGCTCTCGGTACGCATGGCTCCCAACGTCCCCTGCCAGGCGTGGGATCGAGGCTAACCCGTCACAGTGGAAGTCGTTTGACTTCTTTGACGTGCAGCAGGTCCAGCTCCGCGACGACGAAACCCGCGCCTTTTTCGAGAGCAACTCCATCGCCAGCGTCTGCTCCGGCTCCGACAGCCTGTTCCTCGGCAGCGACGACGGATACGTGCACATCATCGGCCCCAGCTGGAAGATCGTGCGCAGCTTCCAGGCCTACGATGGCGGCGCCCGCATCACCCACATGCGCCAGGTCGAGGGCACCAGCATGCTAGTCACCATCGCTGAGGACCTCAGCAGCGAGCCCGTGCTCAAGGTGTGGGCGCTCGACAAGCCCGTCAAGAAGACGGGCCTGCCCACCTGCCTGAGCACCGTCCAGATCGGCAACGCGAAGCGCCAGTTCCCCATCTCGGCCTTTGCCGCCACCGACGACCTGTCCCAGCTGGCAGTCGGCTTCGCCAACGGCTCCGTCGCCGTCATCCGCGGCGATCTCGTCTACGACAAGGGCACCCGCCAGCGCATCGTGCACGAGTCTGAGGAGCCCATCACCGGCATCGAGCTGCGCGTCTCGCCCGACGGCACCAAGCTGACGCTGACCACGCTTTTCGTCGCCACCACCTCCAGGATCCTCAAGCTCGTCATCCACGGCAAGGGCCAGGGCTCGCCGCCCAAGACGGTCGAGGACTCGGGCTGCGGCGTCGGCTGCATGACGGTCGACCGCCGCTCCGGCGACATCGTCGTGGCCAGGGATGACGCCATATACTACTACACGCTCGAGGGGAGGGGCCCCCCGAGGGCATACGAGGCTCCCAAGCTGCAGATCGCCACCTACGGGGACTACCTGGCTGTCGTGTCGCCGCCCGCCTCATTCCCGCCAGACATGGAGGGCGACTCGATGAGCCGCAGGTTCGGAGCCTCGACTGCAGGCTCCATCTTCAATGCCTCGACCTTCTCATTCCTCGAGACGGACCTGAAGCTTGTTGCCCACAGCGAGTCCATCATCTCGTCTGTGCAGGCGCTGTTCCAGATCTGGGGGGGCATGTTTGTGCTGACCCAAGACGGAAAGGTAAGCAGAACTTTGGGCCTGCCCCCCCTTTTTTCGGCTTTGGGCAGGATACGAATGGCTAATATTTCTCAACAGGTGACCCGATATCATGAGAAGCCGCTGCAGCAGAGACTGGAAATGCTGTATCAACGGAACCTCTACCTCTTGGCGATCGAGCTGGCACAGAAGTCTGGCCTCGATTCCCTGCAGCAGAATGTCATATTTCGCAAGTTTGGTGATCACCTCTATCAAAAGGGCGACTATGACGGCGCTATGGCTCAGTACATCAAGGCAATTGATAGCACTGAGCCGTCGAGGGTCATTCGAAAGGTACGCACCATGTGATATCGCGGTCGCGCCGCATGGTTTGGACAGCTCGGTTTACTGATTCGCCTCGGGTCGTAGTTCCTCGACACGCAAAGGATACACAACCTCATCAGCTACCTCGAGCAGCTGCATGAGAGCCGCAAGGCTACGTCAGATCACACCACGCTGCTGCTCAACTGTTATGCCAAGCTGAAGGACGTGGACAAGCTCGAGGCATTCATCAAGTCCCCAGGAGACCTCAAGTTTGACCTGGATACGGCCATCTCCATGTGCAGGCAGGGCGGGTACTTTGAGCAGGCTGCATACCTCGCGCAGAAGCACGGCGAGACCGACCTGGTGGTCGACATCCTGATTGAGGATTCCAAAAAATACAGCGATGCCTTGGACTTTATATGGCATTTTAGTCCAAACATTGTGAGTTCCAGTTGGCGCACGATCCTTGGTCGACAAATAAGCTGACATTTACCCAAGGCATATCGATGCCTGATGAAATACGCGAGAGTCTTGATTGAAAACTGCCCGCAAGATGCCACACAGCTTTTTATCGACTACTATACTGGAAAGTACCAGCCGAGGGTCGATGCTGTCCAGGTCGATGAAGCGTCGGCCCCGTCTGGCGGGATTGCTGCCGGGGCCGTGTCGGTCGTGCAGAATCTCACCCACTTGATACCCCTTCCATACATGAGCACATCAGCAAGCCCGACGCCGGACAGTCAGGGCGACCTGAAGTCACCTGGGGCAGAGACCTCGGGGGTTAAGCGCCTGCTACCCCAAGTCATGATCAAATACGAGCGCCCAGCGCCCCGAACCGCATTTTCATCCTTCATTGATCACCCAGACGAGTTTATCGTGTTTCTCGAGGCCTGTCTCGTTGAGGAGAGCCTGGGCGAGTCAGAAAAAACAGACGTGTACACAACGTTGTTCGAGATGTATCTCCACAAGGCGGCCGAGCAAAAGGATGAAGACAAGCGGGCAGAGTGGGAAAGCAAGGCCAAGTCCCTCATCTCGGGCAGCGAGAAGCCGATCGAAAACTCGAGCGTGCTGCTGCTCTCGCACCTGTCCAACTTCCGGGACGGCACCACGTTGGTGAAGGAGCAGTCGGGCCTTCTTTTCGACATATTCCGATCCTACACGTCTGCCAAGGACACGAGGGGTGCCATCAAGGCGTTGCGCAAGTACGGGCCGGACGAGCCGCAACTGTATCCGGCGGCGCTGGCTTACCTGACGTCGGATCAGCAGGTGTTGGCCGAGGCTGGGACCGAGGAGCTTGCGGCGGTGCTGCAGCGCATCGACAAAGGCGGGCTCATGGCGCCGTTGCAGGTGGTGCAGACGCTGTCCAAGGGCGACGTGGCCACGGTCGGCATGCTCAAGCCGTACCTGCGCGAGACCATCGAGCGCGAGCGCAAGGGCATCGCGGCCGACAGGCGCCGCATCGCCTCGTTCCGCTCCGAGACGGCCGAGCGCCGCGCCGAAATGGCCGACCTCGGCGGCAAGCCCGCCGTCTTCCAGGCGACGCGCTGCAGCGGCTGTGCCCTGGCTCTCGACCTCCCTGCTGTCCACTTTCTGTGCAAGCACTCGTTCCACCAGCGCTGCCTCAAGCGCGGTGGCGCGGCGGCCCATGTGCGCGACGACGACGTCGACGCTGCGGCGGCCGCGGCGGGCGAGTGCCCCGTCTGCGCAAAGGATAATGCCACAATCAGGGCGCTCAGGCAGGCGCAGGCGGAGAACGCGGGGCGGCACGAGCTGTTCAAGGACGCGCTGGAGCAGAGCGAGGACGGCTTTGCTACCGTGGCGGACTGGTTTGGGAGGGGTGTCATGAGCGTTCCTAGTGCTGAATAGGCACTTATTCAAGCGGTGGACGTGAGCTTGTTGGCGTTGGGAGTGGAGGGATCGTAGCATGTACATGGAACAAGTGCTGAGGCAGGCCCAAGTGACACGAAAACCAGTGTCTATGAAAGGGGGTATCTATCTATCGATATCTAACTCTATCGCTTTTCATCCATCACGGCATTACAGCGTTTTTTCTATATAGACATTTGCAGATTGTTTCCGACCAAGATTCTCACGAACAGCTGTTTCCAAAAATGGTGTTCAGCCAGCTGCCAACAGACGAGATGGCTGGTGAGGCGGGCGAGAGGCGGGCCAGCGTGTTCCGCCAGTCTGTGATTTCGTGCAGATTCAGGCCCACAAGGGCGTTGTTAAGGGACGCCATGGCCTCTGTCCCGGAGCTGGTGTCATGCGACAGCGATGAGGCAGAATCAATGCCTGCTATGTCGCAGTTCTTGATTTTGCCATAGCGTATCGTCATGCCCGCCCGGAACTAAATGCGGCAGATGGAGGTTAGCGGTGCCCGGTTTATCAACGAAGTGGCGACATCAGGAAGCGGAATAAACCAACATTAGCGGGAACATCCGAAGGGAGAGGTGGCCTTTCCCTTGGATCTTCTTCGGTTGGGTGTGTCGAGAAGGTAAACTGCGTGGTCTGACCGAACTTCCACTCAGGGGACTTGATCGGCCGATGAGTGTGTTAGTGACACAGGCCATGACAAACAAAGATATCATTCGCTAGATCTACGAAGGAGCGAGTATATCCGGCTCCGCAGCTTACCCGTAGTTCCGCAACCACCTTTGCCACCTCGGGGATCGCCAGCGCGTCGGAACCCACACTACCGACGAAGAGCGAACCGTCGCCGCCGAGGAGGTGCTCGTACTTTGACGTGAAGCGCTCTCGCACGGCGGCCTGGAACGCGGCGGGGTCGACGCCGACGTTGCGCACGGGCGAGCGCACGCTGGCGATGCCGGTGGAGCGGAGGAACGGCGCGGCGGGCGAGCGCAGCAGCGGGCCGATCTGCGCCAGGTACGGCGAGCGGAGCAGGCAGGTGCCGTGGTGCAGGGACCGCATGCCGTTGAGGCGGTAGGCGGAGCCCGAGATCTTGAAGGTCGAGACCGCGGGTGGCGGCGGCGGCGGGTCTTCTGGGACGGGCACGTCCATGACGATATCGTGGCGCTCCGTCACGCGCACGCCGGGCACGGCCAGGGACTCGCGCAGGGCGGCGGCCACCATGAGGGCGTGCCGGTCTGGGTCGAAGCCGGCGCGCGGGGCGATGACGCTGTAGTTCATGTTGCCCCAGTCGTGGAAGACGGTGCCGCCGCCGGAGCGCCGCCGGACCAGGTCTACGGGGACCACGGGGCGGCCACCGCCGTCGTCGGGGCTGCTGCTGCTGCTGCTACCGGCGCCGGCACTCCCTGGAAACGACGACCCCAGGGCGGGGAGGCCGCTGCGGATGCGGGCGAGGTCCGTCTCGAGCCAGGGGTTCTGGCTCCGGCCGACGATGACGCTGGGCCGGTTGGTGTAGAGGAACAGGATGCGGGAGTCGCGGTGCGAGGCCTCGAGCAGGTGCTGCTCGACTGCGAGGTTAACGTGGGGGTCCTGGTCGCGCGACAGGTATATCTGCAGCCGGTGCTGGGGGTTCGACGCTGCCTCGGTCAGGGCGCGGCCGACGACGTTAGCGACCCGGCCGGCGGCCTGCGCGTGCCGGAGAGCCATGCGCTGGGTGTGTGTGTGTCTGTGCTCTGTTGGTCAAACTCCTCGAGCTCTCACGAGTGCGGCGCCGAACCCAAGAAAAAATAAATCAGAGGTTTCGATGCAGGGACCGAAGCCCGATTGTTGGAACGGTATTTCCCAATTCGGCTTAGGCCTGTGAGCATCCCGTCATGGAGTCCTCCAACTGCTCCACCGGCGCTCAGCTAATCCCTGCTGACCCACTGTTGACCCTCCGATTATCGCAAGGCGGGGTGCAGGGTGGTGTGGTTATCGAAGATGAAATATGACTCTGGCTGTCATTGAAGATTTTGGGTTTCTGGTGTTGCTCTGTTGCTGTTTCTCAAGAGCACCCATCCAATTGCTCGTTCTACACCTACACACGGGCGACGCAGCCCCGAGGCCTCCCCCACACCATCACCATGTCCACCTTCGGTACCACCTTCCGCGTCACGACCTATGGCGAGTCGCACTGCCGCTCCGTCGGGTGCATCGTCGACGGCGTGCCGCCCGGCATGCAGCTGACCGAGGAGGACATCCAGCCGCACATGGATAGGCGGCGGCCGGGCCAGTCGGACATCACGACTCCCCGCAACGAGGCCGACAAGGTCGAGATCCAGTCGGGCACCGAGTTCGGCGTCACGCTGGGCACCCCCATCGGCCTGCGCGTGCTCAACAAGGACCAGCGGCCGCGCGACTACGGCAACAGCACCATGGACCTGTACCCGCGCCCCAGCCACGCCGACTGGACCTACCTCGAGAAGTACGGCGTCAAGGCCAGCAGCGGCGGCGGCCGCAGCTCAGCCCGCGAGACCATCGGCCGCGTCGCCGCCGGCGCCATCGCCGACAAGTACCTGCGCCTGGCCTACGGCGTCGAGATCACGGCCTTTGTCAGCTCCGTCGGCGGCGCCTTCTTGTTCCCGCCCACGCCCGAGCACCCGACCCCCTGCACCAACCCCGAGTTCCTCTCGCTGCTCCAGACCGTCGACCGCGCCGCCGTCGACGCCCACCTGCCCGTGCGCTGCCCGGACGCGGCCGCGGCCAAGAGGATGCGCGACCTCATCGCCGACTTCAGGGACCGCGAGGACAGCATCGGCGGCACCGTCCACTGCGTCATCCGCAACGCCCCCGCCGGCCTGGGCGAGCCGTGCTTCGACAAGCTCGAGGCCATGCTCGCCCACGCCATGCTCAGCATCCCCGCCACCAAGGGTTTCGAGATCGGCTCCGGCTTTGGCGGCTGCCAGATCCCCGGCTCCATACACAACGACCCCTTTGTCAAGGCCCCGGCCGACGAAGATGAGACGGCCGGGCAGCAGCAGCAGCAGCAGTTTGGGCGCACAAAGTCCAAGCTGACCACAAAGACGAACTTCTCAGGCGGTATCCAGGGCGGCATCACCAACGGGGCCCCCATCTATTTCAGCGTGGCCTTCAAGCCGCCAGCGACCATCGGTCAGGAGCAGCGGACGGCCACGTACGACGGCGAGTCCGAGGGCGTGCTGGCGGCCAAGGGGAGGCACGACCCCTGCGTCGTGCCGCGGGCTGTGCCCATCGTCGAGTCCATGGCGGCCATCGTGCTCATGGATGCCTTGCTCACCCAGCAGGCCAGGCACACGGCGAGGAGCCTCCTGCCGGTCCTGAGCCAGACGGTCCCAGCAGGCCCGCCTGCCGGTAATGGGGTATCGGCAGAGGCCGCGAAGCAATAGTCTGGTGATGTCTGCATAATTCACTTGGGAGGTGCCCGGAAATGGGTCCTGGGGACCGAGTGGCTTGGTTTGCCTGCTCTCGTCGCTCGAGGGCAATGGCGGGGCGTTCACAAGGAATGAATGGGATTAGATGACGAAGACGGGCAAAGAAGAAAAGAAAAGATGGGAAATTCCTGTTTGTGATAGCAAACTTGGACTGATGTGTGTTTCTGATATGGACAGGATAATAGAGTCGTTGATGAATGCGCCTTGGCTCCATTTGTGCCCTCGACGTTTTGGTCACCCTTGAAGCCATCACGGGACCTCGTCATGCCTGGAGGCTTGCAGCGGGCCTAGACCATTACGTCACATCGACTTCTCTTGTCCAAATCCCGTCAAATCCAATTTTAGTTAACTTTGTCGTCGCAGCAGGCGCCGTCAACGAAGGACGTGCGGGGTAACAACGTATAACAAATGGTCGAGCCACTTTAGCATTCCAACCCTTCCTTCCCCAACTCCATCCCTCCCCATGCTTCGGTTCAGGTGACCTTTCAGCCAAGTAAGGCGTTGCTCAGAACATTATAATCATCAACACCAGATCATGCCCGTGCCACCACCACCTCAGACCATCCGGCTCGGGACGGCCTCCCCGGCGACGCAGGCCACGACCGCCGAGACCCTCGCGCTACTAGAGCGCGTGGCCTTCCGGGCCTCCGGGTTAGGCGTCGACATCCTACTCCTACCCGAGGCCTTCATCGGCGGCTACCCGCGCGGCTCGACCTTTGGGTGCGCCATCGGCGGCCGCTCCGCCGACGGCCGCGAGGAGTTCCGCCGCTACTTCCGTGCCGCCGTCGACCTCGGCGACACCGTCGGCCCCGCCGGCGCCGGCGCCGGCAGCGCCTGGGTCAGGCGGGAGCTCGAGCCGGACCGCGACGACTCGTCCTCCTCCTCCGGGCCCCGCGATGGGAACGCGCCGCCCGGCGTCAATAGGGGTGACGGTACGCGGGAGAGGCTCGAGGAAATTGCGCGCCGCACGGGCGTGTTCATCGTCGTCGGCTGCATCGAGCGCGCTGGCGGGAGTCTCTACTGCGCGGCCGTCTACGTCTGCCCCAAGCTCGGCATGATCGGCAAGCGCAGAAAGGTGATGCCGGTGAGCGTTTTCTTTCTTCTCCTTGTTCCCCATCCTAGCCAAGTTCTGATCCCCCAATCTAAGCTGCTAACCACCCGAACACAGACCGGAAGCGAGCGCCTGGTCTGGGCACAGGGCTCCCCAGCCACCCTGCGCGCCGTCTCAACCACTATCCGGGGCGTGCGCATCAACATGGCCGCCGCCATCTGCTGGGAGAGTTACATGCCGCTGCTGCGGCAGGCCCTGTACGCCCAGAACATCAACCTCTATCTGGCACCTACCGCCGACGGCCGCGATGCCTGGCTGTCCCTGATGCGCACCGTCGGCGCCGAGGGGCGGTGTTTTGTCGTCAGCTCCAACATGTGCGTGCGCCAACCCACATCTTCGATCGGCGGCGGGGGCGCCGAGCAGCAGCAGCAGCAGCAGCAGCAGCGACAAGGAAGCGTCTACGATAGTCCGAGCGGCGTCCCGACGAATGAGCCGGCCGGCAGCGATGGCGGCACCTCTTGGATGTCGGCGGGACCCGTGGTCTTGGGCGACGAATACGACGCCGACGCGGCGGACCCGCCGCCCATGGCGAACCGCCAGAGGAGGACGTCCATCATCACTGAGGACGGGCACGAGATTGTGCTGCCCAGCCTAGACAAGTCCCGCAATGTCAGCCCAAAGGCCACGGCCAGGTCTGCCAATGGCAGGCGGAGAAGGTCCGTCTTTGACGAGTACGGCAACGAGATCGTGCTCTGCTCCAAGGTGGCCGACGGCGATGTTGAGAACGGAGTGGCGGAGAGCAATGGGCCCTCCCGAGATGCCAGGGGCAAATCGCATCCCGGGGCCACGGCAAGCGTCACCACGGCGCAGAGCCGCAAGACAGCCGAGCCGTCAGGCGGCCAATTCATCTCGCGGGGCGGCTCCTGCATCACGGGCCCGTACGGCGACGTCCTGGCCGCGCCCCTGTGGGAGGACGACTCGACCATCAACATTGCCGACGTCGACTTTGAGGACTGTGTCCGTGGCAGGCTGGACCTTGACGCGGCTGGCAGCTACTCCCGAAACGACTCCTTCAAGTTCTCCGTCGAGGGGCTTGACCTCAGCCCGCTGCCATATTACTAACGTGGCCCGAGACGTGCATTCATCAATTATCGCTCAATAGTGAGGATACTGCCAACTGTAGTCATTTGTTTTCGCGTACCAATGTTCTGTGTGGTCAAGGTAACATAATTAAGAACAAAAGAAAGGACGCGCGATTGCGTCTGCTGTTGAGACAACCTCCACTACGCTCACTTTTGACCCCCAACCCCCTACTCGAGAAGGCAGTATAACAAGGCAAGAATGAAAATAAAGGAGTGCCAAGCCTGCAAGATGACAGTTGTACCAACAAAAAAGACTAACAAGTTAAGGGAAAGTGTACGAGGTACCGTAGCTATCCCATGGGACATGCGCCTGAGGCTGGATATCATGGGCAAAGCCGCCGCTCGCGAGGATCTGGTCAAAGGTAAACTGGCTCCAGTATTCCGGCAACAGATCGGCAGCCGGAACATCGCAAAGGTCGTCCGTGTCCGATAAGCCGTGGGGGTCGGGAGACGGCAGAGACTTGGCGCTCTCGGTCGAAGGAGACGGCAGATGGCGGCTACTGCCCGACGACTTGGCCGCCACTCCTCCTGCCAGCGGCGGCGGCTGCGGGGGCGGCTGCGGGGGCGGCTGCTGCTGTTTGAGGTCCCGCCAGAGCTGAAACACGGCGCTGACGGCCTGCTTGACAAGCTTGTCGAGGTCCTTCATGACGCCCCCCTCCAGCTCCTTGTCGATCTTGGCCTCGACCGTCTGGCGGACGGCCCGGGGCAGCTCGCGGTCGAGGAACTCGCCGAGCTCCTCCTCCGCGCTGATGCCACCCTCGTAGTCTGGGTGTTGCCAAGCTCCCCCCGCGTTAGTCGCATCTCCACAGCAGCAGCAGCCTCGAGGCGAAGTCCCTTACATGGATCCTGGGGGATCTCGGCGTCCGGGAAGATGATGGCGTAGATGCTCCGCCACTTCTCCAGCGCGTTGAGCCCGGACTTGAACTTGGCCCTGAGCTTCTTGATCTGCTCCTTGGTGAGAAGCTTGCGGTCGTGGGGGCTGCTCTCTTTTACGAGACACGCCTCGCGGGCCCTCGAGTGGTCGTACAGGCTCTTCTCCGTCTTGAAGTCGACGAGGCACCGGCTGCACAGGTAATTCGGCGCCGAGTGCTTGCGGTAGATGTGCTCCCTGCAGTGGAGGCACATGATGATAGGGTCAGCCTTGTCTTGATTTCCTGTCCCGGTAGATTCTGGGGAGGGAGAGAGAGAGAGACAGAGGGAAGAGGCCCACACACTTCAAGCGATGCATGTCAGAAGCCTCCCATCCCGGCCCGCAGCACGTCTTGACCTTGCCGTACCGCTTCTGGTCGTTCTTGAAGAACGGGCAGGCGAACCTGGGGCCGTCCTTCCGCGTGCCGCTGTCGCGCCTGAGACGCTTGATGTTGCCCCTGCGCCCGCCGTTACCCTCGTCGTCGGAGCCGCAGCCGCCGTCGTCCCCGCCGTCGTCGCTGTCGTCCCTCTGCTGCCGCTTCTTGCTGCCGCCCGAGGACCCGCCGCCCGAGCCTCCCCGACCGCCGCCTCCGTTCAGGGACCCGCCGCCGCCGCCGCCGCCGCCGCGTCCACTGCCGCTGCCAGGCCTGCCACTGCCCCCACTTCCGCCACCGCCACGGCCCCCATCATTGTAGCACTCGACTCCGAACCTGGCCTCGAGCCACGGGGCGAAGAAGGAGTAGAAGCGGGCCATGACCCTGTCCACGAGCTCCTCCTTCCTGCGCTCGAGGATGCGCTCGGCGAGGTCGCGGGCCGAGCCGGACGAGAAGGAGCTGCTGCTGCTTGCGCATGACCGCGGCGAGTCCAGGTCGCTGCCGGAGGAGTATTCCGAGTACGAGTCCGAGGAGCTCCCCGACTCGTATGCGTCGTACTTTGTGCCCTTGTGGGCCAGCGGCGCGGTGGCGATGGCATGGCGAGGACTGTTGGTGTTGATGACGAGTGCCTCTCGGATACTTTTTCTGGATGAAGAAACAGAGACAGAGTGGACGTGTCAGAAAGCGGAGTGAAAGCAGAAGGCGCTGTGGAATCCCCTCCATGCGTGCGTACAGAGCAAGGAGAAGATGGCGCATTCTTTCTCTTTGGGCTCTTTGGGGAAGTCATACCCGGAAACGGTGTTGGATTTGCTGCTGGAGCCCCCGCTGGACCGGCTCTTGGTCGAGCCCTTGGCCGGGCTCTTGGCCGAGCTCTTGGTCGAAGATTGAGACAAAGAGGGGCTCGTGGTCTGAAGTTGCTGTAAAGCCGGTTGACTGTTCTTAGTCCAGAATTTGTGGACAAAAGAAAGGTGGTGACAAAAGAATGGGTCGAGAGAGAGAAAGAAAAAGTGTCGACGTACGTTTCCAGCAGGTTTGGCCAGTTTGGCCAGTGACGAGCCCTGTCGCTGGCCAGGAGACTGGGCAATATATTTGGCAACGTCAACCCGGCTTCCCTTGCCCATGTTTCGGTGATCACCACCTGAGAGGCGGGAAAACCAATAGGCTTGGGGGTAAAAGTTTGAGAGGCCGGGGCACGCGGCCGGTTTGAGCTTGTAGTTGAACGGGATCCTTGGAGGGGTGTGGGGCTTGTTGTAGTTGAATGGGCTGCTGAAGTCTCGGGGCTGCAGGGAGACCATCGCTCTCCTCTCTTGAGATCAAGTGGACTTTCAAGGAGGCTGATGGTGGGTCATCATGCGGCCGGAGGCGTTGGCTAGAGGAGCCGGGGAAGAGCCACGGATAAGGGAGTTGTGAATGGAGGGTGGGCAGGAAAAGAACAAGAGACTAGGAGAATTTAGAGGACAAAAAAGGGGGTGCGCGGGGTGCTGGTCCAAGAATTATTTGTACGTGATGATGATGGGGTTGATGTAGTTGCAAATGTCTTTATTTTATGCGGGGTATATGCTCTGTCAGCGTAAGACAGGTTGCCGGATATGTTGGAGCTGTTCTGGGTCAGATCCGGGTTGGTATGGTGCTGCAGCTAGGACGAGTGGCAGTGTATGTCTGGTTCCTTGAAGGTAGAGAGGGTTGGCAGATTTGGAGTGTAGGCAGAGCCCCTGACAGCAACGAGTTACCTGGGTCGACCGAGCGCGTGCGAAAGAATGAACGCATTCAGGCGATTCGAGGCTGGCTGTGAGAAAGGCAAACTACCTAAGGCAAGTATCCGGAAGGCAGGGGAGAGCACGGGAGGCAGCAGAGCCACATATTTATGCATGAACCGGCGACGCGCAGCATAGAGCCGCACGACACGACGCAGGGAGCAACGCGCATTTGCGCAGACCTACCATATGCGCAGAGCAGGAACCCCTCCTGCATGAGAATCGGACGGCGGCGTAAAGGTCAGCTGGCCGAGGAGGGGGGGAGGGG